TCCATGACAGCATCGTTGTGAGCCTGTGAAGCGCTTTGTACAGCCTCTGTGATGCTTTCTTGAGGGATCTCAACTTCCATTGGCGCAGGTTGTTGCTCAGAAAGCGCTTGACGAATCACCTCCTCTAGCATTTCCCTTGACAGAGCGTCCGTTGGAGGGTTTTGAGCTGTAAGTGCAGGCTTCAGTTCCTCCAAAGACTCTCGCACGGCCATAAGAACTTCCTCGCGGATCTCGTGGACCTCGTTAATGGGAGGAGGGAGCTGAATCTTCTGCAATGAGTCCTGGAGCATGGTCTCAATCTCCTCCTTCGTGACGGCGCCGGAGCCGTTGAAGTCTTGTAGGCCTTCGCGAAGACATTGCAAAATCTCATCATTTCCTAAGCCGACCTGTTGCACTTCGACGTTCGGGTTTATCTCGACGCCGTCAAAGGCCTCTCGGACAGCACTGATGATTGATTCTTTGTCGACAGCTGCAGCTTGGGGTGTTGGTTGATCCAAGCCGCGTTCTGCCAGTGCTTGCTTGACGACGTCGTAGACCTCGTTATTGTCGACTGTGGTGCGCGTTACGACAGATGACATGGATTGCCGTCTTCGCTCACGCATGACCTTGTCCATATGGTCTTTGAGGTTGGCAAGGCCCTCTTGAACGATGGCGTTGATGTCTTCGTTTGATGCGCTCGAATCAGGCCCAGCTTCGACTTGCCTGGCCTGTTCTGCTTCCTCAACCTTGCGAGCAAGTTCCCGTCCCATTCCGAGTACCTCACCGCGGAGATCTTGGATGAGTGTCTTGGTGGCCATTGTGACACACCCTGACTCGGCGACACTATCCTTGATCTTACGAAGGAACTTCAGCATCTCCTCGCTCACAAAATCGGCAGCTTTTGGACTGGAATAAGCTTTGCTATCAGCGGATATCGTTCGCGTCAAGGCACCGGATCCTGGGGAAGGCTGGAACGATGCCGATCCAGGAGCTGCTGCATTCATAAAGCCACCGGCTGAGCCTTGCTTGACGAACTCGGCCAGCTCAGTAACCTTCTTGGCAGTCTCTCCCGTGGCCTTGTCGACTAGCTTCTGCAGGCTCGCTACCAGGCGCTCTTGACCATCCTTGGTTACCATCTCGCGTATGATCTTCTCCAGCATTGCGACACTAGCGGCTCCCTCGACAGAGTATGGATTCGGGCTACCGATGCGCTCGTCTGTCCAGGGGCTGGTGGGCGCCATACGAGGGAAAGTGAATTGCTTCGTTGGGGTCATGTGAGGATCTTGGAGGTTGAGGCTACTGGAGCGAGAGGTGTCGCCATTCATGGCCGCTGCAGCTTGAGCTTGCTGCTTTTGTGACATGGTGGAAAGAAGATCTTTCAGCGACTTGCGGATGTCTTCGTCGCGGGTGTTGGTGGCTTCCTTCAAGCTGATAAGATCGGTGGCATTGTCCTTGCTCCGTCGGCTGAGCTGCGACATGTCTTTCTGCAAGCTCGAGACGATGTTGTTGATGCTCATGAGCTGACTGGAGATGTTATCGAAGTTCTGCGGCGGCGGTGGTCCATGGACTGGTGCAGACGCTGGAGCTGAAGCTGGCGTAGCCGCAGGTGAAGAGTGCGCTGAGCGATTGGTGATGTTCGATAACGGCGGGTCAAGCATGTGTTGAGGAATGGTCATACTTTGCAAGGCCTGCATTGTGGCAGAGGGTGGTGTGTTCTCTCCCAGGATGGCCCTCTGGCTAGGCCGTAAGGCAGGTGTGTCTTTGATCTCGAATCGTGATGCTGGTGTAGGAGTGAGTTGTCGGATAGGACTCACGTCGGCATCCTTTCCAAAGTAATCCCTCTCGTAGTCCCTTGACATAGGCCGCCCTCCCCTACTCGATGGTCGCTCGCGTTCGGGCGACCGCTCGGGCGACCGGGCATCGAGATAGGCACGCTCAGGTGAGCGGTTGTCAAGGTAGCTGCGTAGGTCACGAACGCTGCCCGGCTGTAATGACTGCATGCGCTTGTGCTGTGTGCCTTTAATCAGAGATCGCTCTGGAGACGTCTGCAACTTCTGTGGCATGGGGTTAGTAGTGTATGAGCTCGCTGGTAAACTCTCTCGCGCCTTCTCTTCCAGCGCCTTGGCCGCCTTCATGATGGCCGCAGATGTGTTTGGACGAACGCCGAGAGTAGGCGAGCCTGGGTTGAGAGGTAATGGCGGAGGTGCGCGGTCTGGGTCAGCACTATCCCACCTGAAGCACGGTATTAGTGGCATACGGCGATGGGTTTACATGGCGGTGAGGAAGACGAACATGGGGATCATCCTGTCTTGTGAGAACGAATGTGAGTGTCTGACGAGTTCCCGGTCGCGGGAGACCTCTCTGTCTGATGAAGGCATTATGGTATGTGGTCTGGTGTGTGCTCAACTCAAAATGGTAGTTGTGAGGTGGAGAGTGGAAGCGAGTTGAATTGAGAGCGCGTGAGTAGAATTGGGGTATACAGCTGAGGGTATTGATCGTGAAAAGCTATCAGCGATCCAGCGCAGGGTATATAATAGTTCGTGATATCGTGGAGGGTGGGAGTGTGGGAAAGTGGACTGGAGATGCAGGGCGGGCGGTGTGTTGATCAATAGCTTGGGGTTTGTTTACGTGCACTGGCCAATAGGCGATGACGATGGAGGCGCGACTGCCAACTCAGCCGTCGCTGGGGCAGCAATGGCGCGAAGAGGATAGCCCCATTGTGATGATACGCCAATTGCATGCACAAAATTGGATAGATCTAGCAAAGCGACATGAAGGCGAACGCTTTTTAGCGGATATCATGACCCCTTCTCGTCGCGCGTTGTTGACCGAACTGCGGTTGCTATCTGCCCTGGGTGTGTGGCGCGGCAGTGTGGCGTCTTTACCGTAACTATCGGAATTACGTACCGCCGACCTTGCATCCGCCGCATCTCCATGTGAGCTTGTGAGCTCAACATCACCAAACAGTTCCATCTCTGCCACTCCATCGCACGCTCCACCTCACGACCCGCGCGTACATATCACCTCAAATCATCGCGTATACCACCAGGACTCAGTAAACCACCATGGCCGTCCCGGAAACGAGCTCGCGGATAGCGGAGGCGCAGAAGCTGGCCAAGTCGGATCCCTCCAAGGCCGAGCAGATCTTCAAAGACGTCCTATCACAAGATCCAGGCCAGAACGAGACTGCTATCAAGAACTATGAGAGTGCTTTGATCGGACTTGGTGAGCTGTACCGTGACCAGAAGAGGGTGGATGCGCTGGCGGAGCTGGTCAAGCAGGCGCGGTCGATAATGTCGTCCTTTGCTAAGGCGAAGACATCCAAACTGGGTAAGAAAATACGTCTGGGTACACATTGAAGCGCTTGTAGCTAATCGTCGCAGTCCGACAACTACTTGACCTGTTCACCGCCATCCCCAACACTGTCGACATCCAGATCGACGTCACCAAGTCATGCATAGAGTGGGCCGTGTCAGAGCGGAGAGGTTTCCTTCGGCAGAACCTAGAAACCCGACTCGTGTCCCTGTACATGCAGAAGCAATCCTACTACGAAGCCCTCACACTCATCAACAGCCTGCTAAAGGAGTTGAAGCGCTTGGACGATAAGCTGGTCTTGGTCGAGGTTCAGCTCCTCGAATCAAGGGTCTACCATGCATTGGGCAACATACCAAAGGGCCGCGCTGCCCTCACATCGGCACGGACTTCAGCTGCTTCAGTCTACACCCCGCCTCTGCTGCAAGCTGGGCTGGATATGCAGAGTGGTATGCTGCATGCAGAGGACGGCGACTTCAACACGTCATTCTCCTACTTCATCGAAGCTATGGAGGGGTACCACTCACAAGACGAAGAGCAGAAGGCCACTTCAGCACTCCAGTACATGCTGCTATGCAAGATTATGCTCAACCTTGGAGACGACGTCACCTCGCTCATGACTTCCAAGCACGCTGTCAAGTACGCGGGCAAGCGGTTAGAGGCCATGAAGGCCGTAGCGCGAGCACACACCAATCGCAGTCTTGAAGAGTACGAGACCGCCTTGACCGACTACCGTCAGCAGCTTGGCAGCGACCGCTTCATCACCTCCCATCTCCGACGCCTATACGACAACATGCTGGAGCAGAACCTGATCAAGGTCATTGAGCCCTTCAGCAGAGTAGAGATTGACCACGTCGCCAAGATGGTCGGGCTCGACACGATACAAGTTGAGCGCAAGCTCTCGCAAATGATCCTTGACAAGGTCATCATTGGAGTCTTGGACCAGGGCGCGGGTTGTCTGATCGTGTACGACGAGTCAGAACGTGACCAAGGCTACGACGCGGCACTCAGTACACTTGAAAAGCTGAGCAATGTGGTCGATGTGCTCTACACCAACCAAGCCTCTCTGCTGGAGTAAGACACGTGGTAAGGGGACCTTTGACAGCTCCCAAAGCGATGTACAATAGAAGCATAGATGGTTAAGCATGCTATACCTGCAATGCGACTAGCTAATAACGATGACATATGACGTGGTAAAGCATTACTTAATTGAACTTGTGTTATGCCTCGAGGATAGCATGAACCTTGCTCCGCTAGAGCACAGCAGAATAACATTACCTATGGCTCATGATTCAGATCGGCTATACATCGGCAAGCCATCACAATAACCTTGCTTCTTTTCCCCGAATATATTGTCTTGTACTATCCGGCAGCGCAAAGGCAGCCTTACCGAGCCGGCACTATACATATCCCCGTCTCATTCGCTAAACCTTGGCGATCTACATTCACTCCATAGCGGATCCACACAACAACGATATATCGTCTTCAGATAAATTGACACGCCCAATGATGCTGGTTTCTGATTTGGAACCACGGACAAGGGGACAGTATAGGCGGAGATACGAGGAGATATCTAGTGGCAATGAGAAGGCGTGTATAAAATGCCATGTCCGTCGCAGAAATCATAAGTGCAGAGCAGAGTGTTTCTATCATTGTTTCTGGGTTATTTCTGGGTTGTTTCTGTAAAAACGTCTTGCGCGCTGCCCAAAATGTACTTCACCGCCGTAGCCACAACGACATTCCTCACTCTCATCCCCAGAGTTCTTTCCCATGGCCTTATTACCTCACCCCCCTCGCGTCCCACTGGTCCTACTCTAAACTCTCTCTGTGGTCCTGCCATCACGCGCACTATCAACAATGACAACACCTCGCATGTCGAAGGTCTCCCCGAACTCCTAGCCGCCCCCTACAGCGCCTCCACCTGCAACCTCTGGCTCTGCAAAGGCCTGCAATTTTCCGACAATCCTGCCAATAATACACAGGTATGGTCAGCTGGCCAGGTGGTCCCGCTCAAAGTATGGATTCGAATTCCGCACGAAGGGTCGGCAAACGTGAGTATCGTGGATACGAAGCGAAACGAAATTGTGGGGGATATGTTGAAGGTGTGGGAAGAAGGGTATGCGCCAGGAAAGACCGAGAGCGACGTTCCCATTGGACAGAGGGAGTTTAGTGTAACGATTCCCGAGGGATTAGACGAGAAATGTGCAGTGGCTGGTGACTGTGTAAGTACCATGAGCGCACTGGTTTTGGCGCAATGATGCATATAGGCTGCTAACTAGAGTATAGGTGTTGCAGTGGTGGTGGTATGGAAATGCTGCGAGGCAAACCTACGAATCTTGCGTTGACTTCAAGATCGCGAAAATGGGTGCAAAAACAGATGCTTTTGCTCGAGCGTTCAAGGGATGAGACTGTAGGCCTACTGTAGAGTTCTTTGATTTGGATCGCATTAAGTTCCGGAAGTTTAGATTCTCGAGATCACTACATACCTGAGTACTCAGTCGCACGATTAAGCCACATTCTCTTAGTCCTCAGACGTCTTTCTCTTCGCCGCCATGGCAACGATTGACACTCCCAACAACATGCCACATACAAATAATGTCATGAAAGTCGCTGCGACCATGGTACAACAGTACTTCTCACCCTCCCGCCTCCGCCTCGCCTCAGTTTGAACTTGGTTGTCACATACCTCGCAATGCGTGTGTGGCTCGGGATTAGGTCGTAGAAAGTTGGTGATTGTCTGTGCCAATGTCTCTGGAGAAGAAGAGATGCCGGGTGCTGCGACCGAGGAACTTGTATGGTCGTGAGATTGAGCGTGAAGTTCAATGTCGTGGTCATCGGTTTGGGGAAGAGTTGCGTACTGGATAGCAGTTCAATATATTAGACAATTTACAGCTTCAAACATGGTTGAATAGGATGGCTTACAGCTGAATCTGATCCCGAGGGCGCACATCGGTTCACAGGATGGTCGTTGAATACTTCTTCGTATGCGGGTGCAGCTTCTTGTGGGGTAGTAGGGATACCCATTTCAGATATTTTGTGATTCAGTGGTACTTAGATGCTGTTTACTGTGTGAACGTGTAAAGATTAGTCGTGAAATCAAACGCGCGACAGCACCGCTATATGCCTTTCAGCCTGCTTCTGCCCGATTTTGGGGAGCTTCAAGGCTGGTCGTGAGACTGGACGCCTGACGGGATGATAGGGTGTTATGACAGGCTGTGGAGGCTGTGCTTTCGGGTTGCAGCCAATAAAAGCGATGCTAACAGATAGGACGGTGAGGCTGCCTAAGCTGGCAAGCCACCATCTTCTCGTCATCGTATACATTGTATTGGCTGTTTTGGGGTTGGTTGCGGATAAGCACTGCAATCTTGTTGCGAGATGCACATATAAGCAATGACGGCACTGCGATACCAATACGCTAGGCTTTACCCCTCGCTTGGCCATATATTTAACGCTTTCCGGCAATCCTTATGTAGATCATGATGTTTTTCGTTATCCAAACAAAAGGCAGTCTCGAATTTGAGGAAACCGAAGCATCGCAACCAAGTTCTGACGATCCCTTCATTCCGCGACCTTGATAACGATCTTACCGGAAAAGTTACCCGATAGTTGCAGATCGAATGCTTTCTTCGCGTCTTCAAACCCGAAAGTCCTGTCCAACATGACATCGAACTTCACATTCTTTTTCTCAATAAACGCATTCATGTCTTTGAAATCCTTCTTCGATCCAACAGAGATACCCTTCAACTTTGCGCCCTTGCCCATCAAGGCGATGAGATCAGATGGCTTCCAATCAGCCTCCCAGCCAGCAAGGAAACCAACGAGAGAAATAGTCCCGCCACGGGGGCATAGGTAGCCGATTTCATCGATAAGGGAGCCAACGCCGGTGTTGTTGACGACGAAGTCAACACCACGACCATTCGTGATTTCCTTGATCTTGGCGGCTTGATCATCGGTTTTGTAGTTCAGACCGCGAACCTTATCACTGATCTTCTCTTGAATAGCTTTGATCTTCTCGTCCGAGGAAGACGTGATGATTGGTGTGATGTTTCCGGCGAGACAAAGTAGCAGGGAGAACATAGAAACACCGCCGGTTCCTACAGACGGTGAGTAGGATGGTTTGAAGATCTGGAGTTTTTGCTCAGACCTTGGAGAAGGGCACTAGCGTGCTCCTGCACAGTTTTCAATGAATCCAATGAGTTCCAAGCAGTGACGCCTGCGCATGGGAGCATCGAGCCCTGTGGCTGGTTAGTCTGATGTATTTATGTATACTCTCTCAATCACTCACCTCCTCCCAGGACAAGTTCTTTGGCAAGTGTACTAGGTGCTTTGCTTGGTAGATACCGTACTGCCTCAGTGTGCCTGGACCGTTCGCACCGATAGCCACTGAAATGCCATCATCGGTTGGGTGAAGGTCGCCTTGGCTGCAAATTGGAGCAACGACATCTCCTATGTGGAAGTCCTTGACTGCAGACCCCAACCCAACGACCTCGGCTGCGCAGTCGGAGCATGGGATGCCTTGTTCAGTGATATGGACGGGGTACTCCTTAACCAGCATAGCGACGTCACGGTAGTTGAGCGATACAGCGTGGATCTTGATGACCACATCGTTGGGCCCAAGGTCCTTTTCTTGAGGGAGCGTTTCCTGGCTTTTTTCAAGAGTGAGAGGGTTTTGACGCGAGGCGCTGTCTTTGCCTGCGCTGCGACGGTAGGCTGTGTAGGTAGATGGGTAAGACATTGCTGCAAGTGGGTCTGTTGAGATAGTCTTTGATGGCTGAGTAGATGGATCTGATGAAACGAAGGTCGGTATCGCAGGACTCATTGATTGATATAAAGGGCAGACCCATATGCCCCTTCCAAGCAGTGTATGGATGCTGATCAATCATTTTGTGGTACATGCTTTGTCCGATGGAGCGAGCGTCATGTAACAAAAACTAGGACTCTGCGATTTGTGAAGGTACGCTACATCAAGCTCGAACGCGTTCTATCGTCGAAACAGTGACATTAATCCCCTAAAAATCCCAAGTAGCTCAGTCGGGCCTTCTCAACACTTCGTAGAACGGGTAATTTACGAGCTGAAACATTTCCATGTTACTAGTACGCATTTTCGCCTGCGGGGCAGCGGAGTGGAGCATCACTCCGCTTCCGATTTTTTCTGTCCGCGCGCTGACTATGTACCATTGATCCCCCTCAACTTTGGCATTGGAGATTATCATCGAGTTTGCGCGAGATTACCACCACAACTTGAAGTATGTCGATCTATACATCCAAGTACCAGCGATCCGGCGAAAACCCTGCGAAAAAAGGTAGCTTACCACCTACCGCCTCTACGATTACAGAAAGGCCGTCTATCCATTGCGCAAACTCACGAAGGTAACCACATGGCAAGCGATGAAGCGATCGGACACAAAGATGATCTTCTTGGATGGGGTTGATGCCTTGTTTTTGGAAGTAGAGAGATATGCCATGGAGTGATTTCGAGGGCAGATCTACAAGAGAGTGTGATTGAGGGTGAGAGGTGATCTCTGTATTGGATTCTTTGAAAAAGAGAGTATATACACAAAAAGGTGTAGAGTAAATGAGTGGATACATCATCGCCGATCTCGAGATTCCAAGCAACCATATGCTCTTCTAAGATATCCCATTTTCAACTTACCATTTATCCCAGGTAGCCCATCTAACAAGCGGTGATATCAGCAGGAGTGTAGATGCAAGCGGAGCTAGGACCCTCGCTGATCTGCTTAGGCTCAGCACCGGTATCGTTGCCCTCAAACTCCTCGCAGATAGCCTTTGTATCCGTGATACAAGAGTTGGTGATTGTCGCAGTATCTCCGTAGTTGGTGTTTATGCCAACGAAAGTGGCTTTTCCACCTGTAGCCTTCACACTGTCGATCTTTACATGGCGCTCACCCATCGTCTTGCAATTACCGCATGACCGGTATAGCTTGCCGAAGTCAGAGACAGTGAAGCCGCTGACTGTAATTGTGCCGACACCGTTGTGCTGGATGACTTTGTCGGATGCGCCTATAGCTCCACCACCGGTGACTGTGCCGTCACCGTCCTTCTTGAAGGTGAGAGCGTCCTCGCAAACATCTTCCCACCAGACATTCTCGATAGTGCAAGGACCTTGGCAGTGTACACCCTCGATCTGATCGGCACCGATGATGACGTTACGAAGAGTGGCGCCAGCTGCAAGAGAGAATACTGCATCGCTGTCTCCTCCTTCTGATTGTCCTGTGCAGGATACGCCACGACCGAAACGTTTCATGCCACCATCGAACTCGCCTGTTACCATCATGGTCTCTGTAAGGGTTGATTCGCCAGCTGCTGCTGGCATGGTGCCGCTTGCTGCAGTACCACCAGAGGCAGGTACAGTGGAGTTACCCGATCCAGAGCTTGGTGCGGAGCTACCGCCTGAGCCAGAAGAAGACTCTCCCCCTGAAGACGAGTCGCTACCGGAGGATGATTCACCACCCGAGGAAGACTCATCACCAGAAGAAGAGTCGCCGCCTGAGCCAGAGGACGAGTCTCCACCCGAGGAAGAGTCGTCGCCAGACGAGGAATCGCTGCCGCTGCCGCTCTCAGTGTTTGAGCCAGACTCCGAGCTCGGATCGCCACCCTCAGTTGGAGAATCTGCCTCTTCATCCCCACCAGAGCTCGAGCCAGAGTCACTGGACTCTTTGTCATCGGATGTGCTATCGTCGGAGCTACCTCCAGTGCTGTCGCTCGCGTCGTCAGAAGACTCGTCGCTAGAGCCGGATGAGTCTGAAGTGTCTTTCGATTCGTCAGTGGAGTCTTCCTTGGAGTCAGATGAACCCTTTGAAGAGTCTGTAGAGTCCTCTTTATCGTCGCTGGAACTAGACTTTTTATCGTCCTTACTTTCTCCAGAGGTCTCCTTGTCGTCGGAAGAATCAGAGGCTTTGTCACTTCCGTCGGACTTGGCTTTCCAGACCCAGTCAAACAGTTGGCGTTTAGTGAAAGCAGGATCAGAGACGAGAGATCTTCGCTTGTTGTCGTTTTCGTTCTCGTTTCCAGGCAGGTAAGTGGGAATCGCAGTCATTCCAGAATTGGATGGCTGGCCACCAGAGCCCGGGAAGCTCCCTGTGGGAGCACTGCCATCAGTAGGGAAAACACCAGAAGCACCGCCATATGGTTGCCCACCCCGTCCCGCACCGTTCTTCATGCCATTGCCGGGGTGCTTTGTGCCATGGTTGAGGCTATTGGTCTCTGTACCGTTGTGGTGACCACCACGATGACCATGAGCGCGGGTAGGAGCAGGGGCAGGAGCCGCAGAGGCGGAGACGATCAAAGCCGCGGTGGCGACAGTGAAGAGAGAGAAACGCATATTTTATAGGTTTTCGAAAAGGGTTTGGAAGTGAATGTTGTAGAGAGAGTTGAAGAACGAAGGTATTGTCCAGCAAAGATGACACAGTCGAGAAAAGAAGGGTGACCGGCACAAAGCTGTAGAAGACAAAGAAGAGAGTGAAAGTGTAGGAGGCAAGGAAGAGATCGTTGGTCCTGATGAGGATGAGGATTTTGTAATGCGCTGGCTGCAGACGCCTTTATAGTCATCCTGTCTGGAGTGATTACTCCTCATCTACTCATGTCCCGTCTCCATGGTGTAGGACGATGTTTCCACACACCCTGAACTCCAAACTACCAAGTGCAGGTCACCTACCGTCGCTTGAACTGCGTGTGGGATGCGATCAATGCAACGCCAGAGTAGGTCCGAACACTCGTGGGGCTATGAATCCAGAAAACACATAGACGAGGACTAGTCTAGCGTCCCGGGAAGAATGCCGTGTTTGGTTTGCGCGTCCAGTTCTCGAAACCGATGGTCCGGCATCTGACAATCTACGCGAGCGATGCGTTTGGTTTCATGCCTAGGATGTTAGTCTTGGCGGCTGTGACAGCTATATTGTGTGCATCTGTTGGCGGCGACACTAGAAACGTCGCGCCTGTCAGTAGATAGCCTTGAGGTTCTATGCGTCTGGGTATTCCACGTCACGCGTTTCAACTACGCAACCGCACGAGGTAAGGCTGCATGGATCGAAACTGCCAAAGACACGATTTTCTAAGACGAACATCAGTGGGAAGTAATACTATGATTGATTTGGGCTGTGTCTGTCCAACCTGCATCTAGACTGCTACCGATTCCCCTACCTTATACCTAGCAAAATTTCATCTTAAGGAGAGCCTTCTCAAAGATCGTCCAGTCCAGGGAACCAAGTGGATCATATATGCGTGGTTTCCTGGGTTCTCCGTTGTCGCCTATGAACCCGGCCAAATTCTTTTGCATGTAACAGCGAAGATCGTCTTTGAGTCCAGAAGTCGGAAGGTTCGAATGGTATATCGTGCTGAGTCCCTGAGTCTGCATGCGCTCGATGTGGCAATCACCATGCCCCGCGTTATGAATGTGGGGGTTGCAGGTTTCGATCTGTAGGATCCGCACTGATAATGGTTGTTGTGAAAAGGCGAGTCGTTCCCATATATCGATCAATTGGAACGGTTCAACTGCATAGCCGGTTGCAAATCGGAGTTTTAGGGCAAGATCAATACTCATGGCATGTTCGCCGGCGTTACCAGTTCCGATCATCGTGTCTGGTGTAGTGCCGCCCCCAAGGGCTTTCAGAAGGCGGTTCATCCATTCGTTGACGACGCGCGAGGAGCGGCCAAGCTCGTTAAATACAAGTTGGCCATCCTCGATCTTGGTCTTCGAGTTCCACTTGATACGCACCATCGTATGTTGTTCTTTTCCAGCATCATCAGCTTGTCGTAAGGCGTAATGTAATCCAGCGGCATACACCTTGCAATATTCGAGAATAGATCCTGGGACGCGGTTATCGGCGTCGATAAAACCCACGAACTTACGGTTCATATGTTTCGCGATGATCACACCAAGCATCATGGCTTCTCCTTTTCCGTTGTTGATCCGCAAAAGATCTCCTTGTTCTCTACGTGGCTGTAAGATATCCGTCACACCTGCTTCCTGGAAAGCGCGAGCGAAAGTCGGCGAACCTTGGTGTTCCACGATTACGTGACGATCGGCCATCTTCCCGAAGTTGAGTAGGAGTTTGCGCTCAGCCTCGAAGTTCAGCTGGTCGCTGTTGGATATAAAGATAACGAGACACCGGTGTGGAACGCCACGCAGAAGCGCTCGAAGAACATGTTCATCTTCGTTCATGCAAGGAATCACAATGGCGAGGTTGCGTTCAATGTCCTCAATTGAGTTTCGGGAGATAACGACGTTCTTCTGATCCATCGAAATGTTTTTCGTGCCATCTCCTGACGTGTCCTGACCCTCCGCGTCGAGCTCAGAAACAAAGGACATTTCGTGTAATTTGACGTTCCCAACATGAGTAACTCCAGGGCGGATACTCAACCTCATGCCGAAGATGAGAACGGTTGTAGAAGTTGTGGTTCGGAGTGAGTGTATCTAATGTACTATACAGGATTGAGTCGACGTCATATCGACCTCATATACAAGGCAACATGGCAGTCGTTGTGAAAAACTGGAGTCCATGCCTACACAGATTCACAACACTGTAGTGATAGATTAACACAGCGTGCATACAATTGACAGGATGTACCTAGCTCTTTTGTGTAGCTAAAGAGACAATCAAGTACACAGTACTTGAGTCTGTGGATGATTTCCGACAAACTGTTTGGCTAAAGGCAGTCCTCTCAAGAGAGCTTGATTTCAACCTCGAGTTGCCAAAGCATTATTCGGCATATCTTGAGTCAACCGCAACAGATGTCTGAGATCCTGTTAGACTGGAAAGCATGTCCCAACGCTGTCATCACGGCTCCTTGTTCGTGGCTTTTACCAGCGTGCATCTTAGAAGGCGGAAACCGTTTAGCAGCGCTTGTCGTGGTACGCTTGTCGTGTTCGAAGTCCCGAATAAAAGCACCGTTTTGACCGAAGCAATGTATACCAAGTCTATCACTTATGTGGCCACCGAATCGTTCTGGGGTGATTATGGCGATGCTGGATTGACAACAATACATTGTCAATGTATTGGCCGTGGCGTGGTTGACGAAACCATAGTTTCATGGTGCTTCTCCGGTTGACTATGGTCCTGATTTCACCCCATGTCGTAGATTTTAACCTAATAGCGGCGGATCTAGCGAGTTTGATTAAATCTTCTTTTGGCTTGACCGTCTTTCGCATGTACTCAGCAGTGAGATAATCATCATCTTCCTCGCAAGCGAGTCCTTCCATGTCTTGTTGACTGCCTGGCTTCTGTTCGGAGATGGGTGAGTGGAGCCGTCAGTAGATAGGCTAGAAATGTCACGCCTGTCAACGAGCGGATCGAAACATCGGTATTACAATAGTATTCATCATGCATGTCGCACATAGCCCAGTATCAAGCCGTGAAAGAGTTCGAAAAGGATTGTCGCATGTAGCCAGCGTGTGAAACGATGGAGGCCATTCTCGCAAGCGAGTGCTTCCATGCCTTAACAAATACCGGCTGTAATTTTTCTTGGAGGATACTTTGAACTGCGATCAATACCCACGAAGAGTTCTCGCAGTCCCTTTGAGTACTCCGGTCGCTATGACGTTTGTGTACGTGTCGTGATTCTTCCCAGCGCATGTAGCATACTGGTGTCTTTTCGTCTGGTGCAGCGTCGTCGTCGGTACCGCCGCAGCCTTTCAAGCGCGCGCTGCCGTCAGAGTATCGGATAGACGGAGACTTGAAATGAAAGGCTCACTCGTCTCCTGTAACAGTGGATGCGACTGCATAGTTTGGCGCGCGACGTTGACGCGTGTGGTGTTGTCGGTGAGAGGTATTTTCACAAGCGAAGTTTGTCCAGTTGTAGCTCGGCTATCCGCTGAAGCTCTGGCCTCGCCCAAACGCCTCCATGACGTCTGCAGCTGGTGACACAGGACACGCGATGCGGATCCGTCTGCGCGAACCATGAAAGCTTTCCCCGCGTTTTCAATGCTTTTGTGCTATTTCCTAAATCCTTTTTAAGCCGTCATTTTCCCGGGGTTATTGCGATGGCCTCAAACGTCAATCCTGACAAGATGAGCTACATCTACAACTCGCAGCTCGTGAGCGCTTCTAGCATGTGCAGGTCGAGCATACACTGACCATGACCAGGATGCCTTCACCCTCTACCACATTTCCCACGAAAGGGAGGAACATAGCGCTGTCGGCACTGCGCTCCCTGCCCTCGGCCATGCCACGTCTGGCGCCCTAGGCACCGTTATATCCAAACTCATAACATACCCTCTGGACGTTGTTATCACGCGCCTCCAGGTCCAGCGCCAACTGCATCCCGGCGACAAGCACCCGCACTACAATGGCTTTCTCGACGCCATCGAGAAGATATACGAGAGGGAGGGTGGGCCCAAGGCCTTCTATACTGGTGTCGTGCCTGAAGCTCTCAAGGGCGTCGCCGACAGCTTCCTGTTCTTCCTGGCGTATTCGTACGTGCGACAGAAGAGGCTCGATGCGCGAGATAGTGGGCGTAGCTTGCCTGCGCTCGAAGAGATCGGCGTTGGTGTCCTGGCAGGCGCTTTCTCCAAGTTCTTCACCACACCCATCCAGCAGATCGTTACCCGGAAGCAAACGGCAGCAATGATGAAACAGGAGTCTTCGACCACCATACCCCCGCTTTCCAGCACCAGAGATATCGCATGGGAGATCAGGCGCGAGAAGGGCATGCAAGGCTTCTGGTCTGGGTACTCCGCCAGTCTGATCCTGACCCTAAACCCTTCAATCACCATGCTGCTGCACAAGGCTCTCCTGCGACTAGTCGTACCCAGGGCAAATCGAGATAACCCCGGAGCGCGTATGACCTTCCTCCTGGCTGCCATAAGCAAGGTCCTCGCCTCCACCGTCACCTATCCGTTCTCGCTTGCAAAGACACGCGCCCAAGTGTCTTCACAGGAGCCTTCTTCCGGAACCGGTGAGACTTCGGACAAAGAGAAGTCTAACGACGCGCTGGGATCCAGAGCCTTACAAGCCAGGCAGCGGACCGTATTCAGTACTATCTTGCGCATCGCCCAGACGGAAGGGATATGGGGCTTGTACCAGGGCCTTGGGGCGGAAGTGCTGAAAGGCTTCTTCTCTCACGGCATCACGATGCTGATGAAGGACCGTATTCATGCTGTCATCATCAGTCTGTACTACACCGTGCAGAGTGCGCTGAAGAAATACCCTAGCCCGAGCGAGGTCGCAAAGTCGGCATCAGACAGTGTTCAAAATACCTACGAACAAGGCAAGGAACAAGCTAGCGAAGCGTATGCGAAGGGTGCCGAAGTTGTCGGCAATGCGACAGAATCTGCAAAACAGGTCGTATCGCAGGGCTCACATGAAGCACAGGAGCTTGTAGAAAAGGGTAGACAACATGCTGCTGATGCCTACTCGAAAGGCGCGCAAGCAGCAGAAACGGCAACGGCGTCCGCTCAGGATGCTGTGCACAGCGGGACGCAGCAAGCTGGGCAGGTGTACGAGAAGAGCAGAGAGGCCGTTGGTAATGCTGCTAGCAGTGTCTACGACCAGGGCAAAAGTGTCCTAGACAAAGGCCAGACTGCCGCAAGCAACGCAACACAGCAAACTGGAGATGCGTTTGAACAGGGCAAGCAGGCAGCAAGCGACGCATCGCAGCAAGCGAAGGACGCTGTTCTAGACGCGGACATCAAGGACATCAATGGTCCCGACAAGGGCATCAAGGAGTGAAGCAGAGGGCGGATGGTTTCACCTAGCGCTTTCAGACTGTACATATACCCGATTGATTTATATTTGTAATGTTTGAAAGGTGGATTTCTTTTGCTACAGTTCGGGGTCAGAAAAAAAAGCGTGCACAGCTATGGTAGATGATGCATAGCAGCAAATAATTTCCGGGTGAACTGTCCATCTACCTTGGGCGATCTGAAACGTCAGGGTATCCGTATCCACAGCCACGCTTCACGCAAGTAATGTGTCTACCGAGCTCGAAAGCGTCCCAATGATGTGCCGTCTGTGTGCGAGCTACACCAAGAAGGCTGGTGCCAGGCTCGAAATAGAGTCGGGTGGTCGAGTCGAACAGGATTTTCAGCAGGCGGCTGGGGCTTTGTTGTCTCTGCTGCGCTGGCTACTGTGGAGATGCTTGGTCACGGTATGTCCCATGTGTCATCCCGGTGGCTGGTTGCAGCAAGGTGCCCGTGGTTGCCCTGGAGGCCAATGCGCTAACCACCTGGCTCCGCGCCCGCAGCGCCTCCATCAACAACCACCGCTGGCGACACATCTGACTGCATGCCGCAGTTGAGCGGCTTACTAACTACTAACCTGCACAGGAACAGGGAAAGCATTGTTGCGACGACATTGGGAGTGCTGAGAGCTGGCTGGTAGCATCGGACAGTCGGCGGCGCATGACTGGCGACAACACACGGCATTGGACAAAAGTGGAATCGTCAACATCCCGGACGTTGAGAGGGCAGCAGCAGCCCACGCGCACACCATCCAGCGGCGCATATCCATGTCGTAGGCGACTGTGACGACATAGAACCGCGACCGAGTAGTTGTCTTTTGACATTTCGTCACCGCACCCCGCCTAGCTCATTCCCCTGATCTCCACGAGCTGTCCGCTGCCGCTGTCGCAGCCCAACCACCACACCGCCACAGCCACCATGACGACCAACGCTGCTCACTCTTCGCCGAGCCGGGGAAGATGGAGCAGCCTCGAGGAGGAACTAGCCTACTACAAGGCCCAGTACGAGACGCTCGAGACGGAACTGCAGGAGTTCCAGGCATCAAGCAAGGAACTAGAGGCCGAGCTCGAGCGCGATGTCGAAGAGAGCGAGAAGCGGGAGCGCAAGCTGCAAGAGAAGGCGGAGCGGCTGGGATTTGAGGTCGAGGAGTGGAAGGTGAGTGACTTTAGTCGCACGCGGAGCGGACATCTGCCCAGCTCGGACGATTGCTAACGAGACATTACAGACAAAGTACAAGCAGAGCAAGACCGAGGCCAACAATGCGCAGAACACTCTGCAGAAGGAGATTACCGCCATGCGCGAGAGTCAACGAGCCCTTCAGATGCGACTCCGGGACATCGAAGTCCAAAGCGACGATTTCGAGCGTCAGGCACGCAACCAAACATCATCACTCGAGGACGTCGAGTCCAAGTACAACGTAGCTATCGAACGCAGTGTCATGCTGGAGGAAGAGATCAAAATTGGGGAGCAGGAGCGAGAGGCGCTGCGCATAGAAACACAGCGACTTAGGGATGAACTGTCGGATCTGCGGATAGAGACGGAGATTACGCAGGAGAAGTTGCGCATCGCAGAAGAGACTATCGAAGGCCACCATCAGCGAAAGGTGTCCAGCCATCTCTCTGGCAATGCTCTGAGACCACGCTCGCCCGTTTCCGAGGCATCGACTACCGCGACTACGGTTTCTTCCCCCACAGCTGCTTCGACACCGCCACACTCGAAAGCAGATGGGCTACTCCCGGACACGACTCCTCCCTCCCCGCCCTTGTCTGACGCTCCTATCACCGTAAGACATGTACCCTCAACGCCTATGCCTAGGCGCAAGAACTCGATTGCGCCTCTGGATCCAGCTGCGACCCCTCGCGCCGGCCTCTACCAGCGGGCCCCAAGACATTCACGAAACCCGAGTCTATCGGCATCGCGACCAAGCACAAGTGCCAGTGGACGGGCGACGCCTTCTACACGACCAACTACACTCACATCACGACCGCCTAGACCGAGCTTTGGGAGTGCGGCGCCACCGCCAGCGGATTTGCCTAGATCAGGTTCACTATATCAAATCCGGGGCCTGATTGGCAAGATGCAGAAACTCGAAGAGCGGGTTCATTCAGCACGCTCCAAGCTCCCCGCGCCCACGACTACCCCACCGCGAGCGAGCCCACGCAATGTCAGTGCCATGGGTCACCACGTGCCGAACACGGTCACACTGAGGAGCGGTAGGAAGCGCAACTCGCACGCATCAGCGGGGTCATCAGTGCCCGGCGCTTACGAGTCGGGCTCTGCCGTAAATCGGCTCTCGTTTGGTGTTTCGAACTCTTCACGAGAACCGACTAGCAGCAGGCCTGGCAGCCGAGCCTCCATGTCATCAGCATCAGCAATGCAGAGACCGCAGAGCAGAAGTAGCAACCGAACACCACTGGGTCACTACCAATCATCGTCGATTAGTGGAGCGGAGCCCCGTTTGCCAAGGCCAAGGAGCTCCATGAGCGGGCATGGCCACTCTCACTCACTATCCATGTCGCGACGTGACAACGACACTAACAGCGAAGGAAGCGGCATCTCTACGCCGGTAGGAAGGCGACTTACACTAGAGAAGACGGGCATCCCTACACCAAGCGGGATACCAAGACGTCAAAGTGCAGGACGAAGGGCAAGCAACAACATGGACCTTGGAGACATGGCCCCTCCTGCACGGCCAAGGAAGATGTCGACACAAGCTGAGGAAGAATCATACTAGGATGGCATGTCGCGTTAGCGAAAGTCGACAGAATTGCGGGGCCATTTGCGTGTACGTCTGGGTGAATTTCTAGTACACGAGTTTTACGGCACTATACCTGACGCAGTCTGGAGTCCGGCACGCGGGATGCAGGCAGTAAACTGTAGAAAGTGAGATAGGGATGGGGGTGTTTGGTGCCATTTGGTCAAGCATCGGTTGCACATGGGGTGGATGAAGAAGAACCGTCTCGAGAAGAAACCCGAGAGATTCTAAAGCTCCTTTGGGGGTATTTACATATTGCTTTAAACTTATTTTCCTTTGTCTGAAACCAATATACCCCGAATTACGTTCGTTCCGAGGCTTCTTTGTTCCTTCTGTGCCAGAACAACACGTCTGGGCACCTCCCCAATTTGTACTAATTAAATCTTACAAACTCCACGTGCTCAGACTACTCGGCGCCGACTAGCTGATCGTTCTGGTATGAAAATCTGGGGTAGAGCCGCATGCATGTTGCATTGGCGTTGGCTGTTGGCTAGTTGGCGTTGACATGTGAAAGGCCGCGTGTGGAAAAATCGTACGATTCTGATGTCAAATTGCGGGACTGGCCGCCGCGAACGCAGTGGCAGCAGTGCGCAACCCCAGCCTTGCCAGACCCTGGATCTTCGGAATGCACGTCGGAATCTAGCTCCCTTTCTCTAGTTTCTGATGGACTTGAGTGCGTGTGTTTGCTTATTCTGCAGAACCGCTACCAGGCAAACAGGACGGTGAGCCTGCGCTACGGCTGGGGGCACTACGGGACTTTGCGATCAGGTACCGCCGCAGGGCACCCGACGACGTTTGCCAGGCATCACCGAAGTCATATCTCACTGCTTCGATCCGGCTTCTCGAACCATCAGACACGACTATCTAGAAGCCGATGCTTTTTGTTCCAGCGTCATCTATTATTATACTAATCTGAGTGTGTGCTTGATGTTTGTTCCGGCAGCGGCCGCTCTGGGTGCTGATTGGGTGGCTACGACCGGAGTCCGGTAGGAGATATCGGGGGAGGAGACCCGAGCATCATCTTTGATGCTACCTTGGCGTGGTTTTGTGATAGTGAGACAGGTGTTTGGTTATTCTGGGGGATGGCGATATGACGGTGTGAAGGGCGAGGTGGGGTGGGGAGGCCGTGGTGGTGGAGACAAGAAATGGGAGCGGTGTCGAGATGTTGGGAGATGGGTAGCTGTTGAGAGGGGTAAACTTGCAGTCGGTACTGATAGGCATCAGTCTTTGGAACAGTCAGCGGATCAACGGCAGTAGAGTGTGCTTGACCAGCTGTTGGTGAGAGATAGCAAGGGCTCAACATGCAGGTACTCGTGCTCGGGTTGGGTCTCGCAAGCTCGCAAGAAGCAACTAATGCGGAAATGCTCCCAACAGACCGATTGTAGAAATCGCCATGGCGAGCAGCTCCCGCCAACACCTCGTGCACATCGATCATGGAAAAGGCTGGCAATCTTGACTTTACAAAAAACCTTGCTAGTCATTGAGCATAGCTAGGTAGTCAAATTGTCCCGTAGACCTGCCGTCGTGTACAAAATCGGGTTCCGAAGGGCTTCCGAGTCGTCTACCGTGGCTTCGTTAGGGATGGACAGGGGCGGTATGGGGGACGTGGTGCAGGGCCTTGCCGTCTTCGGCATCGTTGGCGATGCGATAGCTCAACAGCTCTTCGGAAAGTGCATTGGGGTGTTCCGCTATCCTCCATAAAAATTTAATACATACCCAAGCTGCTCCGGACGCTTGCGACTGTTCCCCCTCCTTCTTGCTTCCCTCTCCCAACTACACTTCTCCCTTACTTATAACATACACCCGTAGTGTTGTACTCCTCCTCATACACACTATAGTCCCTCATTGAATCCAAGTCGATTCGTTCGTTGTTGGTGCTTACCTCCCGGCACCGCATAGAACGGACTGGCATCCAAGATTGCTTTTGGGCTCTCTTACACACCGACACTACGACTGTCCTCTACTAATACTCTGATCGTGTCCTCCCACCGACCAGAATCTTTAGAGACGCACGCGTAGCTTGCAGAGCATCGATATTCGGGTATATTCAGATCTACATCGATTCGACACTAGAGGCCGAGCTCCAGCTTGCCCTTACAAGTGGAAAATTGACCGATCCCTCACCGAACCGCAACCCAACTTCGCCTCCATTCTTTCCTCCCACCCAAACCCAATTCCCTCGGTGCATGGGATTGCTTCTACACAACATGGCCGGAGCTGCACAGAACGGAGTCAATGGGGATGCTAATGGCGCCCCGAGCTCCTACGCTGCCAAGTACGATCTTGCTCCGCATTTCATCGGCGGGAACAACCTCAAGGTAGCCTCGCCGGGCAAGGTCAAGGACTTTGTGGCCGCACACGACGGACACACAGTCATCACAAATGTGAGAGAAAACCCCGCTTCCAGGCGAGTTGGTGGTGTTGAGAGACGGCGCGCTGACCATCATGTTCCCCGCAGGTCCTCATTGCGAACAACGGTATTGCCGCAGTCAAGGAAATCCGCTCAGTGCGGAAATGGGCCTACGAGACTTTTGGCGATGAGCGGGCGATTCAGTTCACCGTCATGGCGACGCCCGAGGATCTTCAGGCCAACGCAGAGTACATCCGCATGGCAGACCAATACGTTGAGGTGAGTACCATGCCCGGCGACCGTGCGATGAGCGACGACCGGATGGCTAACGGGGCATATGCAGGTACCCGGCGGTACCAACAACAACAACTACGCCAACGTCGAGCTAATTGTCGATGTGGCCGAGCGCATGAACGTGCACGCCGTGTGGGCAGGATGGTGCGTATACACGACAACTTTCGTCGGAAACATGGGCAAATGGCTGACAATTTGCTCCCAGGGGACACGCCTCGGAGAATCCCAAGCTGCCCGAATCGCTCGCCGCGTCGCCCAAGAAGATCGTCTTCATTGGTCCTCCCGGATCTGCCATGCGCTCGCTTGGTGACAAGATCTCTTCCACAATCGTCGCACAACACGCCGGAGTGCCCTGCATCCCGTGGTCAGGAACCGGTGTCGACGAGGTCCAGGTCGACCAACACGGAATTGTCACAGTCGAGGACCACATCTACGACAAGGGCTGCACAAAGTCATGGCAGGAGGGCCTGGAGAAGGCCAAGGCCATTGGCTTCCCAGTCATGGTCAAGGCCTCGGAAGGTGGTGGTGGCAAGGGTATCCGAAAGGTCGAGCGCGAGGAAGACTTTGAGCAGCTGTACAAGGCCGCTGCCTCAGAAATCCCCGGATCGCCCATTTTCATCATGAAGCTTGCGGGCAGCGCGCGCCATCTGGAAGTCCAGCTGCTGGCTGACCAGTACGGCAACAACATCTCCCTGTTCGGACGTGACTGTTCGGTACAGCGACGTCACCAGAAGATCATTGAAGAGGCACCGGTAACAGTTGCTGGCTCCAAGACCTTCCAGGAGATGGAGAAGGCTGCCGTCTCGCTCGGACGCCTCGTCGGATACGTCTCGGCGGGTACCGTCGAGTACCTCTACTCGCACTCCGACGACAAGTTCTACTTCCTTGAGCTGAACCCTCGTCTCCAGGTCGAGCATCCCACTACGGAAATGGTGACGGGTGTCAATCTCCCGGCTGCCCAGCTCCAGATTGCCATGGGTCTGCCATTGCACCGTGTCCGCGACATTCGACTCCTTTACGGTGCCGACCCGCACGCGAGCTCTGTCATTGACTTTGACTTCTCCACCGAAGGCAGTGCCAAGAGCCAGCGACGCCCTACTCCCAAGGGTCACTGCACGGCCTGCCGTATCACCTCTGAGGACCCCGACGAGGGCTTCAAGCCATCCGGTGGTACTATCCACGACCTCAACTTCAGGAGTAGCTCCAACGTTTGGGGTTACTTCTCCGTCAGCTCTGCTGGTGGTATTCACAGCTTCTCCGACTCGCAATTCGGTCACATTTTCGCCTATGGCGAGAACCGACAAGCTTCGCGGAAACACATGGTCGTCGCACTGAAGGAGTTGAGCATTCGCGGTGACTTCCGTACCACCGTCGAATATCTGATCAAGCTACTCGAGACTCCTGCTTTCGAGGACAACACCATTACCACTGGCTGGCTCGACGAGCTCATCTCGAAGAAGCTTACTGCTGAGCGACCTGACACCATGATTGCCGTCATTTGCGGTGCCGTTACCAAGGCTCACGTCGCAAGCGAAGCGTGCGTCAACGAGTACAAGACCAGCTTGGAGAAGGGTCAGGTGCCCTCCAAGGACGTACTGAAGACAGTGTTCCCTGTGGACTTCATTTACGAGGGCTGCCGATACAAGTTCACTGCCACCAAGTCTACTGTCGACAGCTTCACCCTGTTCATCAACGGAACCAAGTGCTCAGTCGGTGTCAGGGCACTTGCCGACGGTGGTCTCTTGATTCTGCTTAGCGGAAAGTCGCACAACGTCTACTGGAAGGAGGAGGTTGGCGCCACCCGCCTCTCCGTTGACGGCAAGACCTGCCTTCTCGAACAGGAAAACGATCCCACACAGCTGCGCACACCATCGCCCGGTAAGCTTGTTAGGTTCCTAGTCGAGAACGGAGACCATGTTGGCCAGGGTCAGCCTTTCGCTGAGGTTGAGGTCATGAAGATGTACATGCCTCTGATTGCTCAAGAGGCCGGTATGGTCAACCTCATTAAGCAGCCAGGAGCTGTTCTCGAAGCTGGTGATATTCTCGGTGTCCTCGCTTTGGATGATCCATCCAAGGTCAAGTCTGCCCAGAACTTCACTGGCCAACTTCCCGATCTGGGTGCTCCTCAAGTGCCTGGAGCCAAGCCACCGCAGCGATTCGTTTACCTTTACTATATCCTGCAAAATATCTTCCAGGGTTTCGACAACCAAGTCATCATGCAAAGCACGCTCAAGGAGCTGGTCGATGTCCTTCGGGACCCTGAACTACCGTATGGTGAGTGGAACGCTCAGGCCTCCGCTCTCCACGCGCGCATGCCCCAGAAGCTCGATGCCAC